ATCTAGTTGAGGATGACTGTTTTGAACCAAATATGAAACGACTAGTTTCACTAACAAATGCATCATCTCGAAGACATTTTACAGAACTTAGTAGATGCTCCTCAAGATTATCCTTGTTTTGTTCCTAATTTTTCTTGTCGTGCCAGTTGTTTGTTTCAAATCTTGGCATCTAATCCACTTAAATGGGGTGAGGAACAAGCGTCATGCTTGCAAAATCTACTAAAGCTTCTTCAAAGTGATACTATTCTTCGAACTTGCTCCCCTAGTGTACAGTCTGTACTTATTACTGATGTGTCACCTGTGGGTATTGCTGCAGTTTTAGAGTATGAAGGTAGGCCAGTCAGCTGTGCTTCACGCAAACTTAATGTTACTGTAAAAAATCATTCACAAACTTAGCTAGAAGCATTGACTGTGTTCTGGTCTGTTAAAAGACTTCAATAATATTTATTTTGAAAGGAATTCACTATTGTTACTGATCATGAAGCTTTAAAGTTCATTTATCATCCTGGAAAATCTTTAGCACTTTCCTCAGCTGCAATCGTTCAACTATAGAGTACTGCTTTGAGTGCCTATGATTATATGGTTCAGCACAGAAGTGCCAAACAAACTAAAACTGTTGACTACATTCCTCGATAATCAATACAAAATAGACCTGTTATTTCTTCAGTGTTTGTCAGTGCAACCAGATCTCATTAAATGAACTCGTAGATACTTTGGATGTATACTCAGTGCCATACGAAAATGTTTGAATGATAATCTGAAACGTAGATTTCCTGTCTATATTTCAAAGCGGGATGAGTTATCCACTACTCCTGATGGCATTTTGTGTTTAAGTGATCGTGTTGTTATTCCTCCTTCTTTGCGAAAATCTGTCCTTGAAGATCTTCATAGTAAACATTTAGGTGTTGAGAAAATGAAGTCCTCGGCGAGGCTCACGTGTTGCTGGCCAGAAATAAATGCAGATATATGTCGTACAGTAAACAATCGTGAATAGTATCTCAAGCTGAAAAATCAGCATTCGAAGTGGACTCCATAGCTAATAACGTCTGAGGCCTGGCGGAGAATTCATGCAAACTATTGTGGTCCATTTCTTGTCAAATAGTTGTCATTGGTTCGTTTTCGAAGTGACCTGAAGTTTTTTCACAACTTCACCGAATCCTGACTTTACAATAAAAGACTTAAGAAATGTTTTTGGTAGAGAGGGGATACCAATGGTGTTAGTGCATGATAATGGCTCGTACTTTGCTTCAGACACAGTCACTTTTTAGTTGAATGGTACAAAGTCTAGACATCTGTTCACTGTTTTCAGGTAACCTTGTTCTAATCGTCAGGCAAGAAATTTCGTTAGAACATTAAAAACTGCTACTAATTCAATTGCTGTTCTAATATTTAATGAACTACAGAGGGAAGTAGATACATTTCTACTGTAATACAAAGATACTGAACATTCTGCAACGAAAGAAATCATAATCAATTTATTAAAAGGAAGGATTCTTCGCTCGAATATGAGATGTTTAGAGTCGGCAAAGATTACATATTATAGTGAAAATGATCTTCGACCAGCCGTGATAACCGTGGTGAAGAATGTTGGAAAATCTACATTTCGAATCGCAGATACTGATGACTTGACCATATATAACTGAAATGTCGATCATATATAATTCCATGAAGCAAATGAATCCGTTCCGATTTCTGTTGTCAATTCTAATACTAATGGGTACATTGTAGATCAGACGGAGTCTGTACACGATACAGAGCCGGACAAACATATGACGGACTGGAGGGGAACACGTATACTCGATTACTGCAATTTTGATTTCCAATAATTAATAATAATAATTTATTCTCAAATAACATTTCATTACATGAAGCATGCCAGTTTACAGGCAGGATCAAATTTTTACAAATGATACAATTTCAAACTATAGTAAACTACTCAGCGAATACAGAGGAAAACGCACAGTGAAATCGAATCAAGACGCAACAAAGTCTATTATTAGGATTAGTGTACATATATACATGGGGAAGAGAATGTTTCATTTAAGCAAGAGGGATATGTGCATAGGCTGTCACATGTGATCAAGCGTACACGTTTATACAGATATAACAGTGATTATAATAGTACAAAGAAATAGACGAAGTGTTAGTGTCCGAATAACCTGCTGTTAAATAAGGTAATAAAAGGGCTTGACAAAAGCTAACTATAGTGGAAATCGATCGTAGAACAGCTGCTGTAACCTAATGCGGTCAGCATCAAATGTCGAAGACTTACAGAGCTACTGATTTTGATTATCTATCTACCGCTAAAGGTACACCGATTTGACCAGAATGTTAACTCTTTTTAGACTCTCAACTACCACGAGTGTATTATTTGAAAAGGCTCCTAGAATATTTCCTTTCGCATTTACGCAATGTCCGTTAGCCATGAGTTTGTCAACGGAAAAAATTGGTTGTGAAAACTGCTGGATTTTATAGTTTTACAACAGGACAACAGTTAAAAATCATAGGCAACTTGACGGACGATTCATCCTGTCATTAGCAATACTCATTGTTGATCCCTATGGAGATTAAACCATGGACTGGCGGTAAGTGCTTCTGGATTTCAATGTTTCCTTGACAAGCCAAATTTGATGGAAAGCGACAAATAACTGGTCTTCTTAACTCTTTTATTCATAAAGCGTCCTAAAAATATGCCTTATGGTCGAGTAAATCATTCCACGACTGTAACCTTAAGAAAGGTTATGATCTGGTTGTGTTGAGGTGATCCAAGAAACTTCTTGAAAAAAGCCAACAAAGGCTCTGAAAACGCTGAGAAGCATCTTATCCAATCATCATTCGCTAGAGGTCTTACTAAAACATCTAGGAAGTGAAAAGCCACATGTCTAGTATCTGATTGGATGATTATCTATAATGCTACTATGTTTAGTAGCGTTCCAGAATTTTCCAGGAACTCGAGGCAATCTAAAATACTATAAAAGCCCTAGATTTTCTGTACATAAACGAACCTTCGGAGTAAAGCGTTTCTTTCATATTTCGCGCCCTTTTCTCTTGTGTCCAAATTGCTGTGTAGATCTAGCCTGGGAGTTACTAGAAGAGCTTAGGAGCCGAAACTAGCGTGAAATTATAAGACTTAACAAATTGTGACACCAAAAATCATAATTCTTTGAGACAGCAACCATTCCCAAGTTATGGTGACCTCATAGCCTGTTCTGAACGAGTCGTTTTGTTTACACGTTACGACTAGAAATTAATTCTCTGTAAGTTTATGGATGAAGTAGTTTTAAAATTTGCAGAAGGAAATTTGTCAAGCAAGATTTCGATGTCACAAACATATCCAAAATACGATAATTAATTATCATAAACGAAACTTCCAAAGTACAATAGTAGGCTTGCTTAATTATCATATGAACCTTGACTTTAGGACGAACACATGTATTTGTTAAATGTTTAACAAGGACTAAGTATGGTTTATTTATCATTTTATCCCAGTCTATGATCATGTAAATAAATTCAAGGTTACTCATACAGTAACGAATGGCCGAATATTAAGTATTTATTACTAAGTACTGGCGATCATTAAATACAAAATATAATTATTATTTTATAGTGGGACACTACTTTATTGAGTGGACATACATGTAGGAAACCAATCAAATCACAGATCATGTTTGTGTACCTTAGATTGTTTCTATCCTACCTTTAATCACACTGATGAAAATGAAAAGATCAGATTTATTCTGTACCATTATATATATATATATATATATATATATATATATATATATATATATATATATATATATACTTTTTGTCACCAGGTCGAATGTACAAACAATTGTCTAATTGTTTTCAGCATAAACATCACCAATAGTAGTAATGATAATAATATTATTAATAGTAACAATAATTATGATCGTAGTAACAATTATTATCAATAGTAATCATAACATTATTAGTATTAGCAGTGCTAAGAATATAAATAGTCAAACTATAACCGTACACATACACAAACAGAAAGGATAAAAAAGTGGATGAGTGAAACAAGCCTATCAGTAAATCATAATAATTAAATTTATGTACAAAATATATGTATGCTTTTATGGGTATTTATAATGTAACAGTATGTCAGTTAGTGCTTTCTATATGCGTGATTGTGAGCAAGCTATAAATAAATGACATGTGTATGAAACCATAAAAACAAGATACTCCTTTTTAAAAAAATTATGATCACTAGCACTGCCATAATCATCTGATCTTGATATTCATCGTTAAATAGACAAAGAAGAGAAGTGGAGAAAGGAGATACGAATCATTCATTATCTCATGGCTTTTTTAATACAATGATAGAAAAGTGTAACTTTGCTTCTGAAAATGTAAACTGAACGGATATATATATATATATATATATATATATATATATATATATATATATATATATATGACAGACAGGATAAAATGCATTACAGAAAATCGTAATAAATCCATGCAAATCATGAGATAATTAGTGTTTAGTTGTGCGATATTACTTTCATCTGCGCATACCACTACGTAATAAGTAGTATGTGAACTTTCCTTATATTTTTGCCTTTTGTATTTGAAACTTATGTTGTTAGACCATTGGATAAAAAGGAAAGGATAAGTAAACAAATAAAATTAGTAATGGAGACACGAAATTAGCTCAATAATGATATACAAATTGAGTAGACAAGATGAAATGAAAATTGAATTTTACCTAATTGAAAGACCATCACTGCTGAAGTTTAGATCTTTTCATATTACGTGTTGATTGAAATAAATGAAGTAGAATGGTGTAGAAGTAGAACATAGGAGGATGTGGAGGAAGGGAGGTAGATTTTGTATAAAAGAACTAAAAAGTATTGGAAAAATGTAGTGTAGATGAGGGTAGACAACGGAGCCATATATATATATATATATATATATATATATATATATATATATATATATATATATATATATATATATATATATATATATATATACTCTCCTTGTTCATTCATTAGATCCTTTTCAAATACATCAGAATAATATTATCAATTTGATAATATACACACATATGTGTATATGTTAATATAAGTTAACTGATGAAATTAAAAGATACGAGTTAACCACAAAAAAGAAAAAAACATTAAACGCATATAAATCATGAGATCAAAATTGTTTTAAAAACAAAAAAAAACCAACTGGAAAAGAACATTGAACAATAAAGAAAAAGTAAAACATGTATACAATGGGGCAACAAAGAAACAAAACAAAAAAGGCATAAAATATCAAATGAGATAATAATTTAGGTAGGAATAACTAGTAATCTTTTCATCATTTAAAAGAAAGGGTAAATTCAGAAAAGAGATAGTATTTACTATTGGTGTAACTCGATGGAATAATGACAATATTACACATCATCTTCGATCAGGTATTTTAGAGAGGGAGAGCAAGAGGAATTAGGAAAGAAGATAACGGTTCTGTTTTACATATTTAATTTGACTCGAAGTTTCCACTGATTATAACATTAAAATTATGATTAACCATTATACTATATTATTCAACTCAATATCGGGTCTATCTGACTTACTTTCATTTTTTTGTAAACAGTAATAATAATCATAATAGTAATAGGATTTGAACAGTTATTGCTCAACAAAGAAATTCATTGTGATTGAATACTGAACATTCTTCTTCTTGTGTTGTAGATGTTAGTGCAAAAAGAAAACGTGTCAAATAAATAAATCATACTGAAGATTGTTCAAGATGTGGTTGTTTTATTTGTTACTGGAGTTGTAGTGCTTGTTAGAGAAGGAGTTGTATTAGTAATACTCACACTAACAGTAGGTACCTGAGGAGCTCGTTTCTTTTGTGATACTGTAGTGGAAGGTCCAGTAGAAGTATTACTACTATGAGGAGCTGCATTACTAACATTAGTACTAGTAGGAGTATTATTTATAGTGATGGAACAATCTAATCCGAGATCAGATGATGATGATAATATGTCGGTTGTTTTGGTGCCACCAATTTTATCTGAGTTAGAATTAGATAATTCTAATTGAGTTCTTTGTGTATCTTTGAGATTTCGTTCAGAAATATTTGTAGGTGTAGCTCTATCCTCAATTTGCTCTACCCCATCACAATCGTTAGTAATCTGAAGTAAATGAAAAAAATACAATTCTTTAGAATGAATCCCAAAAATAAAAAGTATTTGTTTTTGTATCTGTGAAGTCAACCGCTTAAGTGGAGCAAGTTGCACTTCTCAATGTTCTTCAAATTTACTTCCCCGTTTTCGTGAACACTCTTCAGTGTAAAAAAAGTGCTAAACAAAAGTATGATCAAGATTATCAATAGCTTCGTCACAGCCAATCTAGACAAAACAAACCAAAAACCTAACATCAATCTACCATTTCCAATTGTCTACCATATCAAAAATAACTCGTCAAAAGTAGTCAGTCTCTAAATCCTTAAGAAGGTAGATAGAATGTTTTAGAAACTTGAGAAATAATACACATAAAAAGTGAGTTCATGCTAATTTCCTTCCTTAGTGGACCTCATATTCGATAATCTGGAAGTGATCTCTATTATAAGATGACCCAATATGCCTCATATGTATATTCTCTTTAAAAAAGTGTACTTTATGGGACTAATTTACGAGTTATTGTTAATATTTATACCTTTTTCGCATATTTATCAGATAACTGTACCATTGTGTTGCCGTATTGTCGTTATTGTAAGCTCCCAGTGAACACACTAACTATTCCTTAATTATGGTTAATGATTCATTCTCCTTTCCCTTTATTCTCTTATACTTTTGAGGTCGTTATGCTTGTATTGTAATTTCATATTCATGTTGATGTATGATCAAGTAATTAATCTGCATTATTTTATGAGTTGACTCACATAAGATAAACTATCGCACCACTGCCTGCTGTGTTGTATTATCGGACCAAAAACTAGGTTAGAACAATGCCATACGTTCTGGACCAACAGGAGTTAAGATTTTGTCAGCTTTAACTAAACATTAGCCTTCCCAGTCGAAGCCTGTACTTAGTTAAAGCTTGGGAGGCTAGGCGATAACTGATGTGTCATAAGTAGAGTAGTGACATATTACATGATTTTTAGCGGTAAATCTTCTCTCTCGATAACGTTTAAATTTTCTTAATAACAATTTCCACATAATAATAATAATAATAATAATAATAATAATAATAATAATAATAATAATAATTATTATTATTATTATTATTATTATTATTATTATTATTATTATCCAAAAGAAACTATCAACATCATAAAATTATACAAATCTCTACACAAAACACTTATCTCAAATATCTTTTTCATTATAAATTGGAAAAGAAAATAAAGACGAAAAATAAAATAAATCACATACAGCTGTTTCATTAAATCCGTCATCTGGATAACAAATATCTTGACCCTCAAATTTCGCACGAGCTCTATTAGCTGCAACAACAGCAGCGGCTTCCATTGCTAGTACTCTTGGAGCTGGTCCAATACTAGCCGCTGCAATTGGTACATTGGCACGAAAACGTTGTACAAGTTGAGTTAATTCTTTAGCTAATATAGCACGAGCTGACGTATTTGATGTAGGTATTTGTAATGTTAAGGCTAATTGTTGAGGATTTAAATCTGGATGTAAACCGATCACACCACCATGTACGCCAGATCCATTTAAGTTCGGTGCATATTCTTTTAGACCGATTTCGTCTAACCAACCTTGAACACGTTCACATGACCAAACTAATAAATCTAATTATTGTGAAATGTAAAATAAGGGAATGACAAACTTTTCAAAAATACATGACAAATAAAAATAAATTACTTAAACGATGACATATTCCAGTATGGTTGTACACAGGTAAGAGAAAAGCGGTCTAATTTTTTAACATTTAGTCAATTCTAATCACTCCACTGATCCACAAGTTGGTTTTACGGTTGTTTATAGAATACGTACAAATCTACCGAAACTCCTTAAAACACAAAAAACCCTCAGCATCCATGAAATGAAGCCGGAACTATGTGTACAAAAGAAGTATTCTTATTGTTATCTTTATAGTGGCCTTAAACTATTATCACATTTTGGTCCCATTGATTTTGTATTTGATAATATTTCTCACCCCTTATTTATTTTCAGAAAGGGGTCTTGTGGAGATTGTAGTAATTTAATAGTTGAATTCATTTCTCATATCCCCATACATCTATTCATAATTGCTTCTAACATCACTTCGTTTCATTTAACCTCTTGAATATCTTTAATTATTGTAACAAAAATATTTTAATTATCTTACTCTCTTCATATTACAATCCACCGTTGATTTACTAAGTTTATAAGGTTTTTTGTTTCCACACCCACTCTTTTATTGCTATTATTCCCACTACGTCATCTTTCTATTGCATCATCATGTTTATTTATGGCTCAAATGAGCTCACAGAACTAATACTTGAAATTTCATATACATTTATTCATATGATTGTAAAGGTTGATAATAAATTCGTTGAAAAGAGATCACATAGCTGAACTACATGTTGTTAATGTTTAAACAACAATAATCTCTATTAAGTGATAATAAAAATTGAATCAAATACTTAAAGATAGTTATTACCTATTTTTGTATCGAAGTCCTAACACTACCTACAAAAGCTTCATCAGATAATTAGATAACGATTCAATTCAATCGTTTAGTTAAAAATAAATGATCACATCTCATGGAAAGTGCTCAAACTATGATTAAAGGATATACCATTAGATACCATTCAACTCAGTGGTCTGAAGGTCAAATTTATGCTGTGAGACTTAAGTCATAAGTTCGATCCCCTGTGATTCTCGACATGCACTGATGAGAAGTCACATACTAGGAGAAAACAGTTGCTCATAGCTTTCGGTTTTCAGTGACTGTCGAACCAGAATCACTCCGTGATGTATACTAAAAAATTATAGACTCTACTAGCTGTCATCGTTAAGCTGAAATCTGATTCGTAATTGTGACAAAAACAAGTCGAAATATATTTTGGAATAATATACCAAGTCATGAGTAATATGCATAAGAAATCTCATACAGAATAACAAGTAAGGAAGAATTAAACAAGAGTTAAAAATTCGATGAGTTTTCTAGTCCTTAAAAAATCGAAACGATTATAGTACAAATAAACTGAATGGGACAAGGAATAGGATGTTGACTCCGCGATAAAAAAATTTCTACCAACACTTGTGACAGGACGATCAAAATACATAGTTTCGTATGAAAGATGAAGTAGAACAGTTTTATGACTCTGTTGCATAAGCCTTTAGTTATTGTAATGGTAATAATAATAAGAACTGGAAAAGTGTGTTTAAGAGAGAGAAATAGTGTTGGTTTTCATACAGGCTAACAGAAGCAATGAAATGTATTAGGATGAGATAAAAAAAGTCCATTCATTCGAATTTAACCATTTAATAGTGTAATTTTAAGGTAGTATTCATTAGAGATTGAACTCAGGTTACCACTGGTAGCACTGGGAGTATAGTAGTAGTACCCAAGAAAATGGAATGATTATTATGCTATATAGCAAGTTGATTAAAGTTGGAAATGAGAACCAACAGTCTCTAGCCCAAAGGTTTGCCAGTAGACTTGAAGGTCCTGAATTCGACCCCTGAAGAGCAGATGGGTAATTCAGAGGTCTCGTGTTAGAATGAAACAACTGTCAAGCATTCCCTAGTTTTCAATGGTACATCAACAAATCGATCTGTACCGAATACAATCTACAGATTAAACTAATTATCACAAAACTCTTTCAACTAAAAACTTCTGTTTATTTTCGTAAACATCGAAAATTCCGGAAAAAAACCAAATCAATCATGTATGTAATTAGGCAGTAGAAAAAAAACAAGATTTCCTTATACTTGCAAGCCTATTTTATTCATCATTCATACGCACACGCACAAACGCATGTTGAAGTAAGCTTAGTAACCATTGGGAAACAGTATTGATTTTAGTTATAATAATGTGTGTATATGTGCATATGTTATACTCATTGAATTGAAATTGGTCGGTTAACTGGATTTAAACTGAGTCAAGTTTACAACTGTGAATCCTCTATAAAGTTAAGTGAAAAACTTCTAGAAAACAAAACAACTCATATTCCAAATGTAATACAATCTCAGGGGATGAAATTTAAATACTTGTTATATTTCACTCAACAATCTGATTCCAAATTTCTTTGAAGGGAAATAATCAAAATTACCAAGGATAAACAAGGTTGAAAACAAATTTATTCTAGACATATCCAAATATTGATTTTGTATATGGGTAAGAATTTTAGTCACAAACTGATGTGAAATATATTTGAAATACAATATATGTATGTGTGTAATTTGGATATTGATTATTTTCCTGTAGTTTGGGTTAGATTGCCGAATGAATAGTTGGAAGCATTTAAATTCACTCATCAATATTCTTTCAAACACATCGATCTTATATTTGTTCACCTTGAGTTACATTATAAGACTAAAAGCAGAAAACTCAAGGTACGAGGCAAAAGTTATACTGCTGACTGTAGAGGTGTGACGTCAGTAAGATGTTTCCCTCAGGCAACCAGCATGACACAATACTGCCTTCTCATGAAGAAAGGGTGGGGTTTAGAAAAGATCGTCCCTCGAAATGCACACCTCACCTTATCCCACGGATATCCGTCTCCGTCAGTAAAGTCCCAACAAGTACAGAGTTAACACGAAAACTACTCGTGTGTGACCGGCCTCAAGCAGTTGTCCCTTGGGCACAGCGGTCACTAAAACCATCTCTAACCCGATTTCCATTTTGGGTACTTCTCAAAGAACCCTTCCACAGTGTAGGCAACCGGGAAGTGAAAACAGTCCTCATACCTCTAACAGCATTCAAGATCACTGTACTCGTAATCAGTTCCTCCCTTCAACTCCTATTATTCCTCCTACCTCGACTATCGACTCTTAAGTCCTTTCTTTGACTTCCTCTTCAAGTGTCAGCATGGCCAATGATTCTAGTGCGCGAAATACTATTCCAGGTCTACTGAAACCTTGTTCTTAGTCGAATGTGTCGACAACTTCACTTATCTTCGAAGTCTGATCAGCCCTAATGGGTTGTTGTTTTATCAAGCCTCTTCACGGATTGGTAAAGCTCGTTTGGCTTTTGTCGACTTACGTCATCAATGGAAAAGGCGAAATATCCGTCTATCAATTAAGGGACGTATTCTGTTTTACTTTACGGCTGCAAAACGTGGCCATTAAGGAAGAGTAGAAGATACTCGTAAGCGACTAGTATTTGATGACAGATCCTTTAAAAATATGGCTCGCATCTGCTGGCATCATCAGGTAAGTAATAGGGAAGTTAGACACAGGGTATTAGGGAATGATGGTAAATCAGTTGATGAGGTTGTGAATCTTCATCGACTGAGATGGTTGGGCTACGTGTTGCGTATGCCTGAACACCGATTACCACGACGTGCAATGCTAACTGGTGTTAAGGATAATTGGAAGAAAATTAAGGGTGGCCAAACCGAAACGTGGCATCAGTGCTTGAAGTCACTAACTTCTGGTCTGAGCCATGTTGGTAGATGCAGACTACTTGGTTGGGGTCCGCGTGACTATCGTAGCCAATGGTTCGAGACTTAGTGACATGACTCAGAATCGATCACAATGGCGTCGGTGTATACACTCTCTGTCTTCCTTTAAACTAAGAGATTAAAATCACTTCATATCTTTCTTTCTACGAACTAATTCTTTCTTACTGTATTCAATCCATATACGCAATCTTTATTTTATGTATCAATACCACTGAAGTAACTAAATCTATGAATTTGGTGTCCGTTTTGATGTGCTAATGAGGTGTGGCAACTTGGACCCGATGCATATACGTACCTGGTCCCACGTTGTAGGTGACTGAGTTTGTTAATCGCTTTTGGCAGGTGACATGTAATATATCCATGAAACAAAAGTCTCCTATACGAAAAGAATTTGTTGGCAGCTGAAACGACTGAATAATTTATTGTGCATGAAATAACTATTATACTTTAGCGTGAAATTTGTTACGAATGACCCCCTGTTTATATGGGAACAAATCCATAGCTTCCAGATACTGTAACGAGAACAACATATCAGTTAGACTGTGTTCACGTGGTAAGGAGTGTATGTAGTCTATAGTATAACCTCACCTACCAATAATATGTGATTAAAGCTAACTTAAAATTTGAATAGTTGTCAACATGTCATTTATCTGAATTTTATAGAACAGATAGATTGTGACTAGCAGTGAAATCTATGGTGTACATTTCATCTTGTTTGGGATTTGTCAACTGGATTTACCTTCATCCTAGTGTGTTGATGTTCATGTTGAGACTTGAACCAAGTAGCTTTTGCTTCGAATCGAAATTATATCACTAAGTAATAAACAGACTGACTGATCGACTTATATATAAAACAAAACAAAAAATCAAAAAGAGTGATAAATTATTCTAGAACATATATCCATAGTTAGGACAGCATCAAACGAAATGAATTCAATATTTATGATCTATGTTAATCATGTAAATGTATGAATAGATAAATCCATGTTTATTTAAAATGTCACTCTAATCAGTAATTGAACATTCTTGATTTGTACAATGTATAAACAATTTATTCTTTCTTTCACATTACTTCATATTACCATCTATCCATCTATCTATCACAAAATAAGAAAATCTATCACTTGCGCAAACAAAAGTAACATGTTATGTTTATTTTCACTGTATAAAATAGTTGATTATTTCATCAGTTCATTAGATATTATTTTTATTCTCAATGCGTAACGTACTACTTACTAGTTATTATCATTTATTCTCATCGATTTTAATGTAGGAAGTAACTACTTCTATGAATTTAGTGTTCATCTTGTTGTGCTAATGAGGTGTGGCAACTTGAACCGATGCGTATATGTGCCTGATCATACATTGCAGCTGAGTGACTGACTGACATAAAACTAAGAATTGATTAACAAGAAGTTTGAATTATGTTTTAAAAGTAATAAGAGGTAGGTACCCAGTATAGTTATCTAAATAAAGGTGAATCCAAATCAGTTTAATTTTTGAACATCCGGTCGAATCGAGATCATCTACATCCAATAGAATCTTCATTCGAAACTATTCACAAAGTTAGAAGAACTATTTCTAAGGATCCTTGGATAAGAAACTTATGGGTAGTATAAGCTTTGTTAATTTCTTAACTAAAGCTTGGTTTTTGTGTTGTAAAGCGGTGTGTCCGACACCTTATATTAACAAAGTTCTGACATATACCACTTTTTACTTTGTAAGTTGCTTTTTTTTTAACAGATTAGCACTTTAGTATGGGGAATATAGTAGAGATTGATAAATTTACATAGTTTACATCACGAACTGATATTTGTTAAACCAGCATTGAAAACCAAAAAGTATTAAACACCTATTCCGTCATAGTATGGGGGCCCCCAGCAGTAAGCATGCAAAACCCCACCGCAGGTGATCAAACCCAGGACCTGAAGGGTCGAAAGTGGACACCTAACCCCTAGACCACTGAGCCAGTATTCGACAATGTGGATGTCTAACTCCGATGAGCTCGTGATGTTGCGCGATCACCTTGTATTACATTACATTCGACATGGCTAAACTCCACTTGTCATGGCTTATCATTAGGACTCCTGAAATTGTATTTTGACGTCAGTCACTAGTGAGCACGAGATTATCATTAATAGTGGTATAGATGCTTTGTGAACATCATTAAGTTTTTATTTCGACTAATTTCTGATGCTTTTTTTTTTAAAACACTCTTACATATCAAAGACTATCACCATGTGTAAAACTAGGTATAAAAAATACAATCATACAGCTTTGGTGAATGACATTGTTGTAAAGAAAATTCCCTTTACCAAACTGTAATTGTTTTGTTTAATGACGTAATAGGTGAAATGAGTTGACTAACTGAATTGTTTTATGTGAAGAACAAAATTAATTTGTGATTTCAATTGCATAAATGTATTAATTCCAATTTACGCCTTATTATTCAAAATGTTTACACCCAATCATCTTACGGTATGACTGTTAATTTTGTCTGTTTGTTTGTCCATATTTTTTTAAAGATCCATTCTAATAGTTTTATTCTTGATATTGAATTTGCCTCTTTTTTTTCTAACCCGTTTTACTATGTGATAATGTGTAACGTGAAATAAAAAGTACTAACACTTACATTCCATTGATCAGGAAATAATGACCAAGATCATCTTCATCTGGTTCATTAAGCGTTTATCAAATCCTATCGGTCAAATAGCATCGTGGTTCACTAGTTCAAGTGACTCAACATTCCCTACACTATGTTTTGAAGTTAAATGGATGGATCCAGTTGGTGGAAAACTCCCAAACTAGGCTTTATTGTGAAATGGTAATGGTCCCTCAAGGCGCATTTGTGTTGTGAACGAGAACACAAGTGTGGACAACCGAATGTATTAGAACACAAAATTACGGAATACCTCAGCCAAATCTGAGAAACATACAGTAAATACTTCATTTGCAGGATGGGAATCAATCGTCTCGAATTTCATTGTTCCTTCGTTTCCACACCAACCATTCGCTGTTCTCGTTCTTTTTCTTCGATCTTCTTAACCTTCCAACTCCAGGCATTCCACTTTTGATTGAAAATACATACTACTTATATTTGCCAACATCAGTAGCAAACACCACACTTGTAATCTTTAGAAAACTGAAACATTCAATGGGATTCAAATCCGCATTCACTTAGCTTCATAATCGAATATGTGAAAAGTGAACTAATTTAGCCGAGGCTAAACTCCTGTAGGAGTGAGATGTATTTCCATATGACTAATCAGTGAACGTTAAAATACTAGATTTTATTGTTTCATTCAGTTGAATAATTCATATCACTCCGAAATTGAATCAATCATCAATTTCTTAGATTAAAATTCACTTGGAAAACCAATTAACAGAATAAAATTTAAATCCGGCTAATTTAAGATGAATAATTTGAATTTTTTTTGGGGTAGAAAGCTATGATCTGTACGAAATCAATTCAAAACAGAACCAAATAGATTTTAGAGCTGATAGATCTAGATAAACGAAAAAAACTCTTTGTATTGTGAATCAATTAATCATAATCAACGTGAAGCTTGACATAAAAACCTATTAACACAAGCCATCATATCGTATTAACATAACGAGATGCAATATCAGGAATCAAAATAGAAATAATAATGAGAAAGACTAAGCATTGAGAATACGGTTCGAAAGGATTGGACGAAAAGGCATATATGAGGGGGAAATGGGCTTAAGAGCTAAGGTAAGATAAGGAATAAATGTATATACGCCATTGCATTGTGAATCAAGTGAAGTTTAAAAATCTAAACTAATGGGTTTCAACTGGATAGTAAAATAGTGTTGCATAGAGTCCTGAAGGTGGATGATAAGTGGTTTCATGTTCTTTGTTTATCCTAAGCATTTTGCATTCGACCTTACATAGAATGTTGGCAAGTAATAATTTAAAGATGTGAAGTCAGAAACAGACAGTTTCCCAGGAGTAAATTCATGGTTTTCAGTAATTTTTTAACTGACATAAGTTAACAAAGCAAACAGTTTAAAAATTAATCTTAAATAGAAAAAGTCAGTTATATCAACACTAAAATATTCCGTAAACATACCAATACTATCAGGATGAGCAGCTTCACGTTGTCTACGTTCTAATTCCAATCGATCATAATTTAAGCGTTTTAAACAAACGATGCCATATAATAAACTAGTTCTATGTAAATTGTCAACCATTTTTAAATGTGTTCTTAAATCACGTTTAGTTAAATGATCAAGCATCCGTGAATCAACTAAACATTCCATAAACGCTGGACGATATTGGGCTAAACCAAGACTAGGAAGCCATACATTGCCAACCCATTCATGATTCATATCACCAAACGCAAGACGACTATACAAAATTTACAGAAACAAAAGAAAAAAGTCCATTTATAAATTAACATGATGAAACATATTTGTCTGTATAATGCAGATATATGTATAAAGAGAGGAAGTTACTCCATTGAAATTTTATCTTCTTGAATATAAAACTTTATGAACTGCTGACAATCGCTTTCTCTCTTTCTTTCTTATTAAATTGAAAACCATGGTTACAGTGTTTTATAATTAGGAAATACCTTAAGCAATAACAAAATTTAACGGATATTAAATAGATTCGAACTGTATTTACATCAAGTAGCTCTACGTACCGTTTGTTAGCATTACATTAGTATCAATTAAATTTTATTCCAAAAGGTATTTAAGACTGCAAATGATCAATCTCGTTTGACATAAGTGCACCAGCCATCTCTGCTTGAAACGCAATATGGAAGTAATTCTCGTATGATTCACATATGCCAAAAGAGATTGATCAATTGCAGTCCTAAACATCAATGGAAATATCTAAACAATCAATACAAATGAATTAAAATTCACTCTGTTACACAAGGTAATGGATAATTGGAATCAGTAGCTAAGTGGATAAGGTGATGGCATTTGAAACCAATGGTAATGAGTTCGAGTCTCCGAGTGAACATCAACTCTGGGATATAGATACATCCGACTGAAGAATCCCAGATAGGACAAAACGTACGTCCTTAATTCCACTGTTAGACATCATTCATCTCTGCTTATAATGCTTGTTATTTACAGTTTGAATAATGGACTATTATTAGTTAGATAAATATTGAACACTAGGAAGTATTAGATAGTTGTTTCGAATCAGTAGCACCACACAGCCATGACCCCATCAAGGATTGGATCCAGAAGTTTTAGACTTTGCAGTGAGTAATTAACTTTTATAACATTGAACCGGTATCCAATAGTTTTCATTTATAACTTCAGTGATTTTGCAATATCTCACAGCTATCATCCAATATCAATGGTGAGTAAATCTATTACTTTCGATAATGGTTGAACCTATCATTTAAGGCAGGCCAGTAGAAAAGTGAATTAACAAATAAAGTTTACAGTTTGAAGATAGTTATTATTTACCTTGTACTAGGTTTAGGAACTGGAGTTGGTGAAGTTAAAGCAACCATTTCTTGTATAGCTAAACGTAGTTTAAGTCGATGCAATGGATTGCTAATACCGATTTCACGTTGTATTTCTTGTTCAGATAATGATGCCATTATTGCACCGGATTTAACATTCGCTCTACAAGCAGCTACATACCAAGCGGGCATGCTAACCCAAAGCTAAAAGAAAAAAGGAAATAACCTTAGAAAGTATATTTACTGTTTTAAGGATATAAATGTTTTAGTTAAACTTGGTTTAAGTTATAATTATATATTGATGATAGTAAAATTGATGTTTTGATCCACAATATGGTCTTTGGAATGATCGAAATTTACTGTTGTAGATGTTAGACGACACTAATCAAAATCGATTGAGATGATGTAGATAAGCCATATTCTTCATTTAAGCTTTCACGATGAATAAAAGATGATTCTGTTCCAGTCATTTCACACAACTTAATTTCTTCCTTTTAAACAATATTCTCTACAGAATGGATGACGTGTGCAGATCAGTGAGATTCAAGAAGAAGGTTTTCTTCTGTTTGGAACCGTATCACAGTATTGATGTCCATATTCGAACTCAAACCAAACTGAATGTAAATTGATATGTTGGGCCAACCCTGAAGTACTCCAAATGACAAATTCATGTAATTGGCAAAAATGACTTGCATTTTTAAGGAATGAAGGTGAAACTCTGGCAGTGATGCTTATCAACATTTATATTCATGAAAAATATGAATATAATTCTACCTTTCAATTTCATCATAATTCTTAAAGATCCGTAGATGAATTTGAGAGACAAAACAAAAACTTGTCCCGTTGACGATACACAGTTTTCCAAAATAATGCTGCTATCGCTGTTGAGTTGAACTATATTATTTCCACACATACACACACATAAAATATAGTCAATAAATAATGTAGTACTTGTATATAGAACATTTAAGGTCTAAACAAATAGTTTGGCTTATAAATAATATAATTATTATACTATTGACAAGAAAATGCTTTTCAAATTAGATGTACTACTCAAGTGAAGTAAATAATACTAAAAAAATTATGTGCCCATCAAGAATGATACCTACATAAAACCTATCAAGTTCATTATAGCATGATTTATGAAATAGTATTAATTACTCGTTTTTGTACTGGTTGTTTGAATCTCCCTATTGATGTTTATGATTTAAATTGATCAGTCTCTTACCGCCATTCAAACAACCAATACAAAATGGACTTAAGCTTTACTCCATTACACAAGGTAATGGATAATTGGAATCAGTAGCTAAGTGGATAAGGTGATGGCATTTGAAACTAATGGTAATGAGTTCGAGTCTCCGAGTGAACATCAACTCTGGGATATAGATACATCCAACTGACGAGTCCCAGATAGGACAAAACGTACGTCCTTAATTCCACTGTTAGTCACTATCAATTAGTGGCCACAATTCAAAGGCTACTGTGAACAGTTACAGAAATTTTAGCCAGCTAACTGAAAAACTTATAATATATGATTTTGTTTTTAAAGAAACAAAAAAGAAAATTTCTAACAGACATTGACTATACCTCAAGCCATGCTACTACTGTAGGGCCATTCCATTGTGCAAATGGTAATCTAGCCATCATAGCTTGTTCTAATAACTCCTCCTTTTTCCACCGTCGACGTTCTTCAGGGACTTGTGGTGGTAGTGTTGTATTAGCCAGTTGACCACCACTACTACCCATAGTCAAAGACATAGGATTTGGACTCATTATTCTGCTATTTGATGGAATAGTTGATTCAGAAAGACTTCCTGACACAGTGGATGACGAAAGTGGTGATATAGATCCTCCAGTAATAAGATTTGGTCCATTACACCCATCATCTAGTGTTTAAGCAAAGTGCGAAATACGAGAATAATACATAACAATAGGTATTTGTTAAATATTAGGATGGATGATATGTTAAATTTATTCTAGAAGACTTAAACCACAAGATAACAATCGATAAACAATGCACTCGAATCGATACAAGCTTAAGAAAATGATTTATCCTTTTATATTAGAAACAGTATTCATGATTGTCACCTCAGTTAAAGACGATTTCACATACATTTTGTAGGGGTGTGTCAAAAAGTAATATGACGACCAATGGCATAATCGACAGGAGTGCGAATGACATATGAAATTGATTTTTGCCAGTCGTGTGTAACATATATTGACGTCTTAAGGAGTAATTTTATAACTTAGTTAATTAGTTATATTTGTTAGTTGTAGATGCATAATTATATGAGTATGGTAAATATGTGTGCACACTGTAAGTTGCTGAATCATTGTTGTTGAATATAACTGAACTGAATATATACCAAATCTGACTATTAATCTAACTGTAAATAAAGTGGTGTATTCATAAACCATTTTGATATATTTTGAGAGTTTGATAAATCTGAATCACCAGTTTATGACATTTGCATCTCGCGTCTTTTCTCTTGTGTTGAAGTTGTCTTGTAGGATTTAGCCTGTGGTTATTAAAAGCGGTTAGGGAATCTGATCGAGAGTTCAATTAGCAAACTTTTCATAAAGCTCAGGTCTTTAATATTTACGCATGTTGTTTTCAATTACTTAATACAAAATAGGAAGTGTTAGGTGGTCGCATGTAATCAGGGGGAAACACTACATTTAGGTTCCATTTCAGTTTGCCATCATCAACAAGATATACCCGCAATTTTGAAGAAACTGATGTTCCCTGTAAGGTTCGTACATGAGTCACTTAGCTACATGGCAAGTTCATGAATTCAATAAAGGGTTTGATTCGAAAATGACCGATAGTCTATCGCAATTATTTCCTAAATACTTGAACGTGAAAGATTTCTTATTATTTTAACCTCTATTAACTTCCAAATAATTAAATTAACAACTTTTGACTGTATTTAATTCGCCCTAGTTTATTTAGAAATTATTCAGATAGTATATAACAATGACACAGATTATTTTCTAACATATTGAAAGCACCTTATGTAAAGAATAATATCTAAATATATTTATTTATATGAATTTGTACAACCCATTTGAGATATTGAATAATCTTCACGATGTTCAAACTCAAAAAATAACAAGTAACATTGTATAGTAAGAAACATTTGACGAATTCTTTAAGAAGAGTTTGCAATATTTTAGAAACATCCACCCATGAATTTTGTTAAAACAGAATTTGTTATTATCATGTTTCTGTATTAAGAGTACTTTCACATTAGAGATTTAGAATTCAACATGCGGTTTCATAAATTGAATCAATTTTAAAATACGTACAAACATCATTTGATGTCCAAAATCAGCAATTGTCAACTTTTTCAAGTGCCTCTTCTATCTTTGAAATATCTTTCCAAACAGTAAGATTAACTGGCTGTTTTAGCGACGTCATTTGTTTGGAAAATTCATACCAATCGACAAGAATTAGAGATTCATTAAAAACTAGTGAGGACTTAGAAGTTTATTTCAGTATGGAATTATTTTAAGAAGTGTAAGCTATCAAATACTCGTGATGATACACATCAGTATCGCTCCATATTGATTATTACGTTAATTTATATGTGGTCAATGCAGACTGAATCCAAGATTTAGTTGTATTCCCCAAGTAACAGTATCTTTTCACAGGAAACTATTATATGTGGAAGTATTATGATTTCCTTTATTACATCCCAGCGGCCTGCTTGAATATCTGGGCTACCTGTTCCTCCCATCTAGATATTTCGTCAAGTTATGTTTTCTTGTTTGTTTTAACACACTATTATATTTATTGAGCTCACAATCTATTCAGGCGCGCTTATGAAAAGTTTACAATCTTTCGCTGTACGGATTACAAAAAGGTACAACCAGCGACATCATGGTGGTTTGCAATATGCACTGAAACGAATGAACATTATTCAGATGTCGATTATCGAACTCCTAACATCTAACTGGCAATCACTCAATATTTATCGTCAGGATCGATCAAGATATAAGTAAAGGAAACTTGTTGAAATACTTTATGCTGAGAATTCAATATTGTACCAAAAATATAATGTTGAATAAAGCTTATAATAATATCAATATCAATATATACTCTTATTGCTTAATAATCTTGGACACTACTTCACTCAACAAGTTCGCAAACCAGAACACGGTTGAACAGGAACGTAATTATATTCCGAATAACAAGGTTGGATATAAGTGGGAATCACAATAAAAAAACGTTGGTATATTTACAATCTTTACACAAGATTGTAGAGTTTCTGAAATGGTATGAGTACGATTGTATACAGATTTAAACTAACGAAGCATCAAATTATCCACGAATAGGTTAGTTTCATTGATATTTATCTAATGTCCAGAACATTATGTTGATAATTAAAAACTAGTGCAAATAAACTCAGTAACACAATAAAATTAGGATCCCTTAGATTTAATTTGCAGCCTAAAAATGATATTTCGAGAACAAGGCATATAATAGTTGACATTACTGAGACTGTCATTAAGAAAATAAGATCCAACTAAGTAATAAACGTGAAGTTCAAACGACTTTGTGTTAACATTTTTTAAATACTTAACTTTTATCCATCTAATGTGAAAATATGCGTTCATAGGTATATGATTTGTTTGCATTAATTACTGAGTCTGGAGTGCTGTTAGAGGTATGAGGGTGGTTATCACTTCCCTGTTGCACATACCATGTAATGATGACTAATTGCTGAGAAAGGATAGTGAAACTTACATTACCATGTTCTATGATCATTATCACGTGTTTTAATTCACAAATAAAATTATGGACACAATGTCGATTCAATTGTGATACTCACTGCTTAATATCATTACTTTGTTTCCAGAATGTCAAACATTATATGGAACGAGTTGGAAATAAAAGTAAGTCATGTAGAATACATGAAATATTTGCACAAATGTAGATATATTTCTATGCAAAATATACCTACCTGCGTGTGTTTATTTATTTACTACTAACCGACTAGATACGATATCAGTTCATTATCTCAACTCAATATTTATATTTTCATTGTACAATAACATCCTATCATCATTAGTATAAATAGTAAGGAGAAGAAGAATACAAACCAAAAATATTCATACCATATTCCAAACCTTGTTGTCGTTGCCTAAACTGATACATCTGTTGTTGCTGTTGTTGTTGTTGTTCTATAAGGAGTTGGTGCTGTTGTTGCTGCATAATTTGAGCTTGATTGGTTATTGACGGATGATACTGTACTGAAGGAGGAGGAGGTGGTAATGGCAATGATAGTGATTGATGTCCTCCTGAACCGACAGCTATCGGCTGTGGACTCATAGGTTGTTGTTGCATAGAATATCGAATATTATTGTTATTACTATTATTATTGTTAGTAGTACTATTATTGTTATTAGTGGTTGATGTATGTATCATTGGTGAACCAAGACGTATCGGTGGTGAAGCTGATATTCGCATTGATTGATTAATATGATTTGGTATAGGATAATAATTTTGTGAATATTGTGCCATATCATATGGTCCACTGACAATACCAACACCGCTATTGCCACTTATATTACTTGATTGATTACGCCGAAATAATCGACCAAATGTACCAGATAGCATACGCGATTTCTTCTTACTTGGTGTAGGTGATGGTGTAGGCGAAAAAAATGATTGCGTTGGATCTAATCGAGACATTGAGTTGATTTGTTGTTGTTGTTGTTGTTGTTGTTGTTGACTATCAATAATGTTGTATAATTGATTTCTAGGTCCAACTGACCGTAGATAATTTTGATACAATCCTATAGGCTGTTGATGATGATATATTGGCATCGAATTCATTTGTAGATGAGGAGGTCTTGTTGAATGAGAAAATTGTAATTGTTGGATCTGCTGTTGTTGTTCATAATCTCGTTGGTAAAGTGGTTGTTGAGTTAACGTTGTCATAGGTTGATCTGAAATGGATTGTTGTCTGTACTGCAAGTGTTGCTGATAAAATTGTTTATTCATTAATGGGATATTTTGTGCTGATGTAAGTGGTATTGTTTGTTGTTGTTGTTGCTGACCTGACGGTTGACCTTCGATCGTTTGATTACATACTAGTGAATCAGAAGCAGCTGAAGAGCCTTCTTCTTCAGGACTATCTACTGATATAACTGATAAAGAACTAAGTAAAAGAAAGAAAAACATCATTATATGTGTTGGTGCTTTTTCTTCATAACAAAATTACTTATATTTGTATATTGCATGCTGGTTTCAAATGAAAAAGCTTAGCTGATGTGATTACGAAACTGTTATAACTTTAATTTGTACACATGAAGAATAAAGAAAACAATATAGCGAAAAAGTTCATATAGAATAAATGGAACGTGGCTAGTAGTAAAATCTAGGATGCGTGTTACGTCCTGTTTGGGACTCGTCAGTTAGGTGAACCTGGATCCCAGTAAATATCAATTTTGAAAGTATGAAACGCGCGTCTTGGATTCTTCTGACGGCCATATTCCATCCATTCTATTCTAACTTGTGTCATAGTAGCTATATCGAAGCAATCCGCACAGGGTACACATATACCAACCAAGATTGATCAAATTTCCAGTCAAAATATCAACAACAGAATGAACCAATTGATTAAATTGAAAAGGCGAACAGTTAAACACTTCATACGGAATAACTCAACATGCGCATACACACAAATGAATGAAAGTAATGCGTAGTTAAAACACACTTGACAGTTTCAACCAAATAAGGTATGCACAACTAATGATAAAAGTAGGAGTATTAGGATCTTTTCTCACAAAACTTGGAAAATCAAAACAATGACTGAAATTGTTGCTTTACTCTTTACTACAATATTCAAATTATTTATTCGTCGAGATGTTCACTATTAGTTGTAGCCCATTCATCTCACAAGCATAAACTTAATAGCTTAGGAAACCGAAAGATGATGCATATTTAAGAATACAAGAAAAAACCAACAGCAATTGTAACTTCAAACGATTATAACTCCACAGAGAATTAGAATTCTTAAAAGCATCCATAAACAGTACATACATTTATATGCTACATGCAAAATAATCAACACAATGCAATCTCATTCATTATCTATCTATCGATATTTATATCTACCTTGATGATGGTACATGATCAGTGAGTGTATTTATAGAATGTCGAAAATTTGAATGATTTAAATCTTCGTCGCTAACAGTCTCTTTAATGACGACACAACCTTCAACAACGCCACCTTCATTTAATTTTTGATTGACACGTTTATCATCATCATTAACATTATTATCCATTTTAGGTTTATTTAAACTATATCCTCTACGTAGATGTATTGTAGCAGTATGATTTGATAGAATATGATGTGGTCCTATAGGAGCTGATAATTTACGTATTAATGATGTATTATTAGTAGGTAAATTAGATTCTTGATAGTTAGGTAATTGTTGTTTAGATCCAGGTAGAACCAATGATTTAGCTACTGCTGCTACTGATACTTGTGTAGTTGATTTCGACAAAGAACTGTCACATTTTCCGTTCAACAGACTATCAGAACTAATTGTTGTTGTTGTTTTTAAAAAAATCAACAATTTGTTACAAAAGAATTGAATCATTTAAAATACAATAAATAATAAAAAATTATACATGATGATTTAAGAACACTACCAAAAAATATACGTAGATATTACTTGAAACAAATTATAACTTATTCTAAAAATGGAAATCTGGATCAGTAATTTGTAAACTGTTAATTCAAATGAACCTTTCATTGTAATTTAATCATAAACTTTATTCTTTATGATCGTTTATAATGAGTCCATGGAAAGTGATTTCATGTTGATTAAAACTATTTCTCTAAATTCAATAACCAAGTACAGATAGATCTTAATCGACCAGTCATAAGCGATTTGAACTTAACATACAATTACAATGGCTCAAGTTGTTATACCATATTAGCACAGCAAAATGAAACTATTAAAAAAAAAACCAGAATAGAAGTAGTAACAGTATCAGTGCTAGTAGAAAACATAGAGCATAGAAAATTTTATTCGAGAAAAATAACGAATTTACGGAATAAAAAACAGAATATAATTTTAAAGCTCAAGATTTGAAGTAAAATAAATAATGGATTCACTTGTGACATAACGACCGATTATGAAACATGCCACATAATGTTTCTTATCGTTCAGTTACGGTAATCATGTCGATCCCAATCAGTTAGTTTGCACCTGCCTATATGGTTCAGACCAACAGTTAATGACCTCATGGACTAACTCCATGTCTTGGTTTGGCCTTCCCTGGATTTATTATAACTAACTTCTAAACCAGAAAAACATCACAAGTTGGGGTACACGGTAGTCAAATCTTAAACAACTCAGGCGATGAGGATTTACCACCTCACTGATCGACTTGCTATACTTAACTATTATTCTTTCTCTGACCTCATCAATGCTCAACGATCTCAACAATCCTCCAAAGGCATCTATAGTTAAAAACTGTTAGATTATGAATATACCCTGTCATCGTATGCCATTTTGTCCACTTACGAGGTACAACAGAAACCGCCATGTAGTATAATCGTCCTTCAATAAGCAGGCGGACATCTCCCTTACGCCACAAATTGGAAGAAGTAACAAGAAAAATTTCTACCCAGATATATATAGATGACTTTGAGCCATAGCTTCTGTGAAAGGCTAATAAAAAAACCAGAACGCTCAAACTAAAGTGGATATATGTTTGAACATAAAACTCTGCGGTTGGAAGTGGAGTGCTTAAATCACTAAAACACAAGATCTTTAACGCACAGCCCCCAAATGCCCTGGTACGGCCGAGAGTAGGGCGGGTTCGCCCACCCTCTCGAAATGCTCTCACATGGCCACGTGTATATAGCCTCTACCAGGGAAGTCCTACTCACTGCCTTCTCGCACCACGAGTGTTGTTTATGAAAATGAAAGGAGGAAAAGCGAATGTCTGGCGCTTTAACCGGATCCCAAATCAATGGTGCACATGGGCTCCAGTATCCTGAAGGAACAAATGGCGTATGAACCAATCGTTGGTCACCGGCCACCACAGGACTGCATCTCCTTACGATGCTCCACTGCCTTGTGGGTCAGACGTTCAGGTCGAAGGCTCGGGGTGTGGCCCCCCACTAAGAAAACCACCTGCTTCGGTTTGGGCACCCGGCAGTATCACAGCCCTCACACAAATCAATTGAGATTCGTGTGGCGCATATGTATTTGGTGCCTCCTTGTACCAATACCTATGTGTTAAAATAAATAAATAAATAAAACATACTGATATTGATTACAGAATCATGGGGAAATAATACACGCTAGTTTACTAAACAAGTTAATAAAAAAACTGTCACTAAAAGTAGACAATACTAATTTTGGTGAAACAATAGAACGGCATGTTTCTTAAAAGAGATTTACAACAAAATAATGAAGAATTAGAAAAACCCAACAACATTAACATGTTAATCACCTACCCAGGTGGATAGCCGATACCGGTGGTACAAGTTGGTAAATTAGTACGATAATTATTTCTCAAGTACATATTAGTGTTGTTCATTAATTCTTGTGCTGGTATTGTTGAAGGGGGTGGTACGTTGTTCACTGTATTTGGATTAATAGATGGCGGTGGTGGAGGAGCGCCAGAACCAGTAGGAGCAGCAACAGGTAAATGATAATTTAATTGTGATGCAGGTCGAAGTGGTTGATTGGTTATATTATTTTGTAATAAATCATCCGATGTAATTAAGCCACCATTGCTAACCTGATTTACAATAAAATAAAACAAAAGAGAGAAGAAATAATCTGAATTAATGGTTTTTATTTACTGGTGATTTTAAGACTGAAATAAACAAATCAAAAGACATTAAACTCGTAATTAGTTAATTAATTTAATAGAATACACAAACATTTAAAAATTTCTTTATTACATTTTGTAAAATTTAAATTTTATCCAGTAATGAGTGGTAAATTTTTGAATCATATGAAAGAGATCAAAAAAGAACTATCAACAAATGAATAGTTGAAACTCATAGAGATCTAGATAGATTATTTCAATATTCAGAATTATACATTTCACAGTGTATAAATCAAACATATCCACGAGAGACTGGTGCAGAGAAGCGTTTTATTTTAAGCACTAATAAACACTTTAGAAAACCCATGATTGTATCTATGAAAAAAACTACTGCTGTAATAAAACTCTAGTTTACCAAAGTCACTAAGTCTCTCCGTTTACTTCTCTATTGATCTTTAACACCTAAACACAGTAATCTATTGCTACATACCTGCTGAATACATCTAGTTGTAATAATAATATTTTATCTAATCTTTTTACTAAGAATTATTTAAGTTCTATAACATTGTTGATGAATACTCGAATGCCGCACAACCATGAGTTCAGATTCCTAATAATAATATTTTAATATAAAATAAATAGGATGTGACTAACAGTGGGATACGTATCGCGCGTCTCATCCTACTTTGGACTCATCAACTGAGTGTGCCGGAATTCTTGAGTTGATGTTCAACTTCGAAAATCAAACCTAGCACAGTTTGCTTCAAATGCAATCACTTTATTCAGATTATTTCAAATAGGATAAAATAACATTTGCTTTCTGAATTTTTTTGTATTATGTTCAGTAAAATGTTATTAACATATTATTGATTATTATTGCGTAAAAAACTTCACAATAGAGATTGTATAGATTTGAGCATGAAATCTCCTTCGCTGAACCAATAATTGGCTGTTTTTAATTTATAATGTAGTCTAAATAAACATCAATTTCCGACTAAACCGTTAGAAAATCAAACTAAACATAAGAATATTTAGTCATTAGACGATATTTAGTTTCACTCTCTAATTCTTATTTCAGTATTAGTCAAATCTGATCAATTAATTTATGTGATCTGATTTTAAGACATAGTAACATGCAACTACGTTTCATTTATATATATATATATATATATATATATATATATATATATATATATATATATATATATATATATATGAGATAAGGAAATAATTGACAACAACCCTAAACCATAACTAACTTATAGATAAAGGTATACGAATAGATCGATAGGAATTTATCATCAACAAGAATAGAAAAGCATTGACCTAGAATAGATTGATTATGGCTAGCAGTAAATCCAGGAGGCATATTTTGTTCTATTAGGGATATGTCAACTTGATATAAATGACTCCCAGTGTTAATGCCAACATTAGAACTCGAAATGAATACCTTCAGCTCTAGACGCCAACGAGTTATCTACTGACCTATTGAGTCCAAACAGCTAGCAACTTATTCAACAAATATGACGTCTATGTAATTATGAATAAAAGTTTGAGTTATTCCATTGTTGATAATCAAAACTGAATTTTTATGAGGTTTTGTTGATATATATAACAAATAGCTATAAAGAAACAACGCAAATAGACTATACATATGCCAACGAATACTGACCAACATTCAGTGCTGGATATCATATCCTAACTGATAGTGGTACAGTACAGATTATTTACAACAAGTGAGTAATTCAGGCACTTTTAGTACTTCCTGATATTTAGTTATCTAGAACTAATATTTCAGAATTTAATCTATACGGATATTACTTACATTAATGGAACTCTATGACTACATAGTTATCAATAATATATCATAAATTTTATCCAGCTCTCCGACTAGCTTTGTTCCCATAAAGAAGAAAAGGGTATGGTCCAGAAGACCAAAAATAAGAGAGCATGTACGTTTATCACAGCATAAATTACAAACCAGTGATACAATAACAACTATTAGCCATATATAAGTTTTCTAGTAAAAACGGTAAGATATAGGTTCGGATTTTCAAAAGACAAAAAACAACGAACAGAAAAAATGAGAAAAGGAGAGGAGAACAAAAGAAATAAATATGATAAATTGTGAAAGAAGACCAAGTAGGATTAATCACGCAATAAACGAAAACATGTGAACTTGATCTAGATAAGAGAAGCTTTTCAGAAAGAAAAACATTTCTAAAAACTCTAAATTTAGTTGGTCAAATTTCGATCAAAAGAAAACCTAGGTATTCGAAATATAATCAACCAGGTCATCTTTGTAATATATATATATATATATATATATATATATATATATATATATATATATATATATATATATATATATATATATATAATATTCTCGTTTCTATAAGAATTCCTCAGTGATTACATCGAGTAATATTGTTGATAGTAACTAATGGTAATGATTATTAGAAATAATCATAAATTTTACGATGGATGATTTTGTGGAATTTTACTTACTCTGAATGAAAGTCATCAATGACCGTAAACTTACCATTCATCATCAACGGTAGGACATGATAAGAATGTGTATTAATTTAGCATCATAATGAGAGAAAATGTACAGCATAAGCAGTAAACAAAATGGCTACATTTCAATTTTAATAGAAGTTTGAACATGTGAAAAGGATTACATAAGAAAAAATTGAAATCAAAGAATGAAATGTTAGAAATTATGCTTAACTTCAGTTGAAAGAAAGGCAGATAATGGATATGACTAAACTACTCTAACTGATTTCAAGTCAGCTTACAGAATGTATTGAAACATTGATTACAAATATACTTGTGACATCAATCAAGAAATCTTTACCTGTCGATATAGCTCAGGTCAACAGTTTTAATCCATTATTTGACTAGACCAAACACTTTCAAGTTTTGTTCTAGGCTCTAGTCCGAATTTAAATATCAATACTGAGATGCAAGTACATCTACTTAACTAATTCTAAATTAGATGCAATACGCATTCCGAATGACATTGTTAGCTACAATCCATCTGTTATAAAAATCACTTTAATATTTATTGTTCAAGCACAATATATGTTCAGTTTCTGTATATGAAGCTCAAGGGTATACATTTCGACACTGATTTAAATACACCAATCAAAAGTTCAATCCAATCTTTTAGGAGAAAAAATTATGAACTTGATTTGAAAATACTTAACAATTTACCA